GAAGTCAAACCCAGTAAAAATATAGCTTGTACCATGTATGTTGTAGAATACAGTATAATGTTACGGACGTAGATATAGTCTCACATACCATTGTATTTTCTTTCTTATGTTGTTTGTAACCGCAATTAGCCCTCGGGCATGTATTTGCAATAAAATTTCTCAAATTAATATATAGCTACCGACAATAGGGAGCCGGCGGTTACTAGACTCTGGAGGATGGCACCCAGGCTATTGAAGCTCCACGGAACTCAAGAACTCAGTACAGTGACGACTCTTAAATGCTGCAAAAGGCCAGCATATGCCGGTTTGTCATAAAAGTCTATGCACTGCCGCAAATTCACAATACCAGCTTTGTATTCCTGTGGTTTAGCAGCATTTTTGGGCTGTTTTTTTTTATTCGCCCGCGCGCACTAGTTTGGGGATCTTTAGTGGATGTCATCCATAAAATTAAGACAGCGTGGCCATTCTTATCATTTATTACGTACCCTTTGGAGCGGCCTCAAACGTGGCTCGTAGTCTGTAACTGCATACAGCTTTACATGAGCGGTTAACAAGGTTAGAAACGAGAAGAAGGTAGGTGCGTTTCTATTGCCATATATTTTATTTCTATTGAAAGCACGGAGCATGGCTAGGTCAGGATATAGGCCTGCGAGGTCGTAGGGGCACCGCCTGTGAAATACGTAGACAAAAACGAAGCGATCACGACTTCTTTTTTTGATTTTTCATATTCACAGCAATCAAGTACATACGTAGGCATATCTGGGTGGTTTTCATATTCAGCTAAAGTTGTTTTATGCGGCTGAATCGTGCTCTAGTTAAGGGTGACCTGGAGTGTCGACACCCAACTGATGAACGGGCATGGGCAACAACAAATTTGCCCCGCTGTCACTCAGCTTACCGTAACCTGGTATCCAGTCTATCGTGGTTGGGGCGGGTTTTCTTCGGGGCTGCTGAAGCTCTTCCCCGCCCGCCTGAGTCAGGTTCCCCCGGTAGGTTTTTCTATTAGAGCCCCGGAGCTAGACAGCCTGCCCCGACCACGATAGACAGGGATGCCAGGTTAAAGTTTACCGTGTCGTAACACACTCTAGTCATGACGAGATGACAAAATCTGGTAAAAGATATATATAATTTATAAGCCATGCCTTCAAGTACCAGAGTTATCAACCAAGGATTGAGGTGTTCAAGAATTAATTCTTTCCTGGAACTACCGCAGAGTGGAACTCACTGTCACCAAGTACAGTAGGGGCATTGTCAACAGATAGCTTTAAACAATGTCTAGAGCTAGAAGTTCAAGGGATAACAATGTAACAAGTCGATCGGTGTAATATAGCCAGCTGCCGCCGCGCCGCGTGCCTGCGAAGCTGGTGTGTTACGCCGAAAGGCGTTTATACCGGCTATACAGATACAGATATTTATGTAACGTTATACATATAGCGCTAGAGTGAGCAGATATACATTGTATGGAACATACGGCATGTTTTGTATCCCCTTCTAGTCCTTATGTGTGAATTCCTGTGACCAAATGACTGGCATGTCTAAGTTGATCCAGGTTTCAATGTTGTTCGTCCTTCCATCTTTAGATTTGCCACAGAACAGTACTCTCCAAGCAGAGGTTTGGGCTTATTTTTGGCGTGTTTTAGGCTTTTTTATCGTTTTTTGCACTGGTATCTTTTTAAATTTGACGCCAACCCTGGGAAAGCCCGACAAAAAAGCCCCCAAAACACGCCAAAAGTAAGCTAAAACCCAAACCTCTGCTTGGAGAGTAGCCTGAGCCAGAACAGGTCATCTCCACACATTTTACCTACGGTTTTAAACACTGAAACTGGCACAGCACTTACCAGAGAGACTGAAATATTAAAGATGTATTAGGTCATACCAAGTAATTACATGACTGTCATGGATGACGTCGACGCGAGCATTCATTTTGGCCTGTTCCAAGAAAAAAAACAAGAAATTCCAATTCCTGTAACTACGACCATTTGCCGCAAACCGTAAAACAAGAAACAGGACAGGACGACAACTGCTGTTCCGCTGATTTATTGCTGTTTTCACGACGAATATAAGACTTGCTGGTTGTTACTCTGTGCTCTCGCATTCAATTTTTGTCCTAACACTCGCATTCAATTTTTGTCCTAACACTCGCATTCAATTTTTGTCCTAACACATTCAATTTTTTGTCCTAACACTCGCATTCAATTTTTGTCCTAACGCATTCAATTTTTGTCCCAAAACATTCAATTTTTGTCCTAACACATTCAATTTTTGTCCTAACACTCGCATTCAATTTTTGTCCTAACACTCACATTCAATTTTTGTCCTAACACATTCAATTTTTGTCCAAACACTCGCATTCAATTTTTGTCCAAACACTCGCATTCAATTTTTGTCCTAACACTCGCATTCAATTTTTGTCCTAACACATTCAATTTTTGTCCTAACACATTCAGTTTTTGTCCTAACACATTCAATTTTTGTCCTAACACATTCAGTTTTTGTCCTAACACATTCAATTTTTGTCCTAACACATTCAATTTTTGTCCTAACACATTCAATTTTTGTCCTAACACATTCAATTTTTGTCCTAACACATTCAATTTTTGTCCTAACACATTCAATTTTTGTCCTAACACATCCAATTTTTGTCCTGACACATTCAATTTTTCAACGGTCCCAACATTTGTCGTCCCTTAGCATATTTCAAATCTACACATCTTGTTTGTTTGTTTTTTGCCCTTCTTGTTTTTATTTCGCGCTCTCGCATTGGATTTAGGGTCTCTAGAGGACGTCATCCATAAAAGTTACTTGCTGTGGCCTTACTTATAATCCATTTAATCCCCTCTGTAGAAGGGCCAGAGCATGACGTCTGTAGACCACTTGACATTTTCCTGCCTCCCGAGGCCTCAGAGTGTCCTGCCGCACAGAACTTCATTTACGCCCTCAAGTGCGGTGTTACTAGGAATAGAATAATGGCTTGGAGTGGAGTTTAAACTGCCATTTACCGCATTGGCGGCCTACCGTACAACATAAACTAGTTCAGCATACAAAATCTGCTGTGTCGACGGATAACTGCGATGCGATTATCGACGGCAGTGCTACTACTGTAAGTGCAGCAGCTCTATTATGTTTACCGAAGGAAAACATATTGTTTTTGCTACGTTTCTTCTTCTGTTCCGTTCCAATCACTGACCTCTGACCTGGCCAATGACCTGATTTGTGGACGTCTCTCACCATGGTAACTGGTGTTGGATTACATAATGTTGCAATTTTATAGTAGGAGGGATTCATACTCCTGTCTGATCATATATGAATGTACATGTATTTGAGTAAGAAACAACAGAGCAGACCATATGCGAAGGTAAACATTATGCATTTTCTTGGCAAATGTTACCTTTCTAGTGTTTAGATAGATCTAGATAGAAGGCGAGTTCTTATACGGTTTTCTGAAATGTTATGTTCGTCAATCTCTCCATAAAAGGCATTCAATGTGGTCTCTGTTGGCAATTTTTTTTCTATTCGAACATTTATTTTAAAAGACATGGCGACGGCACACTCAAGTTTTTCAACTTATTTTTATGCCGCCACCAACGTAGACAAACGCATGAACGGACAACAGACATGCTCAATTACTTTTTTTCACCTGAGGAAATTCGTGTAAAGTGCCTCTCACAAGGGCACAAGATCGGTGGCATGTCAGGATTCGAACTCGGGACCTCTTGGTTTCCAGCCTCTGATCGTTACGCCACACGACCCCAGGTTGACAAGTGGGTTAAAACTATCGCCACGCACGCACGCACTCACTGTTTCAATGTCAACCTTATGTCATGGCTAATGTCCAATTTAGCAGATGTTACCAAGAACGCTCGAGCTGGTATCGTTTTCTCTCTGCCCCTTTCTTTTACATTTTTACATCCTATAATGAACCTTGAGCCACGTTTTCTTCATCATCCTCCCGACGTTTGGAGACTATTCTAGGCAGGGTATGATACGCTACATTGTTACAGGATGTCTGTTTTCACACGATAGCCTGCGTGGGACAAAAATGTGGGGGATAAGAAATGACAGAACTGTCGCTTTTTGTAAGATACCGTGTTGTAATACGTACGTTACATGTAACCCTATCATATAAATGCCTATTTCACCATGTCCCTTCAAAAGGTTGCAATGCTTTATCGTTTTCATGTCGCTCAGGTATTCAGATGTAGTATTTTCTGTACATAGTAGAGGGGATTCATTCCTCAAGCTAGCCGACATCTTGCACACGCAGTCGTCCCTCAGTAAGACACCTGGAGCTCCATAGTTCCAGTTTAAACAATTTATTCAGCCTGCCACACTTAGTATTTTCCTTCCATTCCTGTCTTAGTGGAAGGTATGAAGAGTAGTATCTCCACGATTGAAGAAACTGCTCTGGGTAGTTCGAAATTTGTTGCAATAAAAATTAGATGAACTAATTTTTACTGCTCATGAAGTTTTTGATACTATCTTTGCTGAGCCGTATCGAATTCTAACAGTGTGTGGCCACTGACAATTATAATAACCAGACAAACACTGGACAAAAGCCTTCAAAAACAAGCATAGATAAATAAGAAACTATTACAATTAATAATCAAAGTTACATGTCTCACAATCTTTGACTATATGTTCGAGGATTGGAGCAAACCTTACACCCTTCTACTATACTAAGAACAAATAATATTAAAAGAATACACGGGGGAAAATTTGTAATCAGTTAATAGATAGGTCCTTGACTTCGTGAATATTTTCATCAGGTTGGTAAGTCACTGAGTTAAGAGACACTTTTTACATAACCAAGTGTTTTATTCACAGCCGATGTTTCGCTGACCATCTGTCACCTTCCTCAGGGCAATTCTGACTGGTTCACATTGCACTGCAGCACTGCATCATTGTAGATACAGTTCCATGTAAGTACGCATATGTATAGATTGTACGTTTGGGAATGCATCTGTAGCAGCGACACCTGTGCTGCAGTGCAATGTGAACCAGTCAGAATTGCCCTGAGGAAGGTGACAGACGGTCACCGAAACGTCGGCTGCATAAACCACTTGAAAGATTCTATTTACTAAGTCCTTGACTCTTTTGTAGCCATGCTGGTACCATGGACATAAATTGGATCACAACAAGATGACGTCACTGTGGTCTCAACTATTTAGAAATACGTCATTCAAAATCAAGAGCAAGGTCCAGAAACGTTTCACACTACTTAAAGGGCATCCAATGCGATTTCAGAACAGCAAAACTGGAAATATTCTGAATAAGGCAATCTTTGTGATATTGACACAATACTGCTTCATATTAGCACATTTGAATCAGTATTTCATATACTTTGGACATTTAAAACAGCAGAAACAAACCCAAAGTTAAGTCCTTTATTTTCTGGGTGGTACCCTAAAAATCAGTCCAGGGCCCTTCCAGTAACCATTTTCCGTCAGAATTTTGGTAATTTTTTTATCCACGGGGGTCAATATATATTGGGATTCTGTGGTTTCAACTCTTTATGTAGATAAATGACCGGAATATTGACTTTGAAAACTCGGGTTTCCAAGTCCTAAAAACTGCATTGGATGCCTTTAAAACACAATTTATCAGCATTTTGGAGACTTACAGTTTTTTTCCAACATATATCTGTGCACTAAGTATTGAAAACAGTTAGCAGTTTGACTTCTACACAACTCACATCGAAAAAAAAATCAAACGACACCAGAATTTCCCCCCCTATACAAAAATGGATCACTCTGCTTTGTGTAAACGTGTATAATTACACGTTCACACATCATAACATAAAAGTTGTAAATTCTATCACACCTGGACGAGAAACATCCAACATATTTTTATTAGCAAAAACAATGCTCCCACATATAAACTAAAATTACCTCAGAAAAAAAACACTCTCAAAGATACCAACGTTTACCACGGAAGTACGTTTGGTTTGGGGGTTATTCTACGTTTGGTGGTTGGCCTACTGCGCATGACATAGCTGAACCGTGCTCTGAACCTATACTACCGAGGATAAAGCCATACAGGAAGACCCAGTGTCTTTCTAGGCTCGTACTACCAACTGTGCCCGACTGTGGCACGTTTCTTAACTAGACTAGTTGCAGTCCATTGGCGTTTGGTTTAACAACAACACTGACAGCCAGGGAAAATATCCAGTCAAAGGTACGTGACCTTACATACGGTTTGACCCCCTCTGTACATAGTGTAACGTAGGTCACTCAGCGGACGATACAAATAGCTATTAACACCATATGGGTATGGATATGGTTCCGACGTGTCTCTGGTTTTTAATCTAGCCGTGGCTTCATTCAAGTTAATGAAAAAAGAGCGAACGTATCACGAGTATGCTACAGGCAAACATGCGTGTCCGTAGGTATTATTTGATAGAGTTCTGTGGCTGCGCAAGTTAATTTCGGAAGGCTACGATATTTAGTTTCTGTGCAATACTTCTTAGGTGATAAATTGTACATAGAAGCTATGCCACAACTGCACTGAATATATCATCAGTCCTTCACAGAGGACCCCTGCTTTGAGACATTCTATGTGGAGTCATTTGACACGGCTTTCTAGTTTGTGGTGATGTCGTCTTTCAGAACTTGTCACATTCATTTTGTGTCACCGTCGCCTATTTCACGCCAGTTTTAAGTGATAAATTGTACATGGAAGCTATGCCACGACAGCACTGAATATTTCAGAGGAGCCCTGCTTTGAGACATTCTATGTGGAGTCATTTGACACGGCTTTCTAGTTTGTGATGTCGTCTTTCAGAACTTGTCACATTCATTTTGCGTCACTGTCGCCTATTTCACGCCAGTTTTGATGGCTAGTGTGTAGCGCTAGTGAGTTACATGTAACTCCGCTCTCCTTTCATTCTTCATGTCATGTTTTGGGCCGAGTCCAACGACAGGTTCGAACGACATCCTGCGTGCTTGAAGAGATAAGCTCAATGCGTTTTTACGCGCTGACAACAGCGATATCGTTCACTTGTCTTTCCAGAATGTCTGTGATGTCATATCTGTTGAAGCTTACTGTTGCGTAAACACACTTCTGCCTGCAGACAAAGGAACTATCTGACTGTCACACGTTATGGGTAGCCTCCACCAGGCCTTTCTACGAAAATACGGATCGTAGAATTCGGAAAAAAGAGGGTAAAATTGGCCAAGGGAGTCCGGCCGCGGGAAGGTAGTTTCTTTCCCTCGGAAGCGCGGCCAGTCAAACCCCAAGGCGGCCAAACTCCCGTGGCAAATATTTTCCTATATATCCAGCGTAGTTAGCCTGGTAGAGGCTACGTTACGGGGATATTTTTAACTGATACGCAGTACAGTATTGCTTAGCCTATTCAAAATACAACATATGGAAAGTAGGCAAGACATGGTTTCATCCAAATTTTGAGAAAAACACAAAAAATAAGGCAAGAGATTTTTATTTAAAATAATAACAGCACAAAGACAAAGTGATGCTGCACTCAAGTTGACCAAATTATTTTACCAGCGCCACTTCACAATAAACAAATATATATATATGTAAATATTAAGACAGACACTGAAGTGTGCCAAACGTCAATGACCTGAACCAGGCGTCTATCACCATGGTAACTCATGTTGAGCTACATCATGTTGCAATTTTATAGCAGGAAGGATTTAGACCCGAGAAAGATTAATATTACATGATATTTAATACTTTGAACATCCTCCACAGACCCTTTCTAGAAATGATACGAATTTCATGCCAATATAAAATTTGTTTCGACTCTCCCGGCATCCAAGGTCCTGACTAGAAGCCTGAGACGGAAAAACAAGGTCTGGCCGGGAAGATATGCTTCAAACACCGTAAATCACTCTACACTGGGGCGGTAATGTTGAACTGCTATGCCGGGTACGTGGTGTTATGGTAGCCTCCACCAGGCCTTTCAGTTCTACGGGAATACGGATCGTAGAATTCAGCAAAAAAAGAGAGTAAAATTGGCCAAGGGAGTCCGGCCGCGGGGAGGTAGTTTTAAAATTCTTTCCCTCCGCGGCCAGTCAAACCTACAAGGCGGCCAAGCTCCCCTGGCAATTATTCTCCTACATACATCCAGCGTAGGACTAGTGTTATATGGCCATGTAGATATATTTCACCTGTGATTTAGATTGTAGGAAATCGACGAAGATGATGTATTTCCATTTTTCTTCATCCAAGAGGATTAAGTCTTTCCCGGCGATTAAATGCTGATATAGATCCAAACTGACACTGCTTCTGAAAACATTTTAAAGATTAGCACTGCTCTTGGGAACGGGGGCTTTGGTACAGTTCCAACGAAGTAAATTGTTTCACGGGACAAATAATAATATGAAACTAGAAAGGTAACATTTGAAAAGCAAATGCATGATGTTTAACTTCGCATATGGTCTGCTCTGTTAATTCTCACTCAAACACATATATGGTCAGACAGGTGTCTAAATCTCTCCTGCTATAAAATTGCAACATGCAACACCAGTTACTATGGTGACAGACGTCTGGTTCAGGTCATTGACCCTATTGGTTTGGAGAAGAAGAAGAAGAGGAAACAGAGCAAAAACAAGAATAATTAAGGGTTAATGACCCGCCACGAGGTGTATATGGTGTGATAATGCCCTGGCAGTTGCTATAACCACCGAATAAAACCACCGAGTGAGCGTAGCCACCTGGCCATATGATAATATATGATAATGCGTTCCTGGCTTTTAATTCCGTAGAGACATACGTACGGTTTCCCTAATTCCGTTAATGCCCTGCGCTGGCACGTACCAAGTGTTTGTCTAGCTGGCTCAAGTACAGTGGACTTATCGATCGGTACTTTAGCTTTAGTGTTTTTGTCGACCTTGGCTTGTCCCATTGTCTAGACTTCATTGAAACGTTCAGTAACCAGTAAAGGTGACAAACAACATACCAAACTCCACGGCTAGAGTAAGGCCACACCGACTTAATTTCATGGATGGCATCCGCGTGCGCATTGATTTTCGCCTGTTCATAAAAAAAAAAAAAAAAAACACGTCCACCAAGGCTCTGGCCTGGCTCTAGGCTCTAGGTCCATGCTAGTTAGCGACAATACGGAGCCGGCGGTAACTCTGGAGGACGGCACCCGAAGCTCCACGAAGCTCCAGATCTCAGTACATACGTACAGTGCTGATTCAAAACTTCGCAAAAAGCCAGCATGTGCCACGCAAATTCATAATACCAGCTTTGTATTCCTGTGGTATAGTAGCATTTTTATTTTTTGCAGGTATTTTTTATTCGCCCGCGCGCACTAGTTTGGGGGTTTTCAGGGGATGTCATCCATAAAATTAAGACGGTGTGACCTAAGTCGTATCACGTTCCAATGTTGATACAATATTCAGTCATCCAGCCTGGCTGTGAACCACTTGTACAATCAACAGACACGTGAACCTAAAACAAGTTCCAAACTTTCGGCGCCAAACATCAGCCTCCATAGCATGCCAAAAACTGGGGGTTTTGGAGGGTCTTCGTCGTCTTTGGGAGCTTTTATCTGCTATTTTCTGATTGCATATAGACAACATAGCCGGCCTGGTTGAATTACCCCCGTTTTTGTTTAGAACTGCGCTAATCAGAAAACAGCCGAAGACCACCAAACCCCCAGTTCTATACGCCTGCTACGGAGGCTAGCCAAACATATGCGGTGCACGTTTTCGTGCCTCCCACAACGCGGCGAACTCCGGTTGAACCGACTCGGTTAAGGACGGTGTCAACTTTACGAGGTTACCCTCCCCCATAAAAAGAACTTGACCTTGCTGACCAAATTTTGACTCGTATTAGCCTCGACGTCAGCACGTTTGTAGGGCTATATATACACATTCCCCTAGCCAGGGTTTTGAATAGGAGGGTTCTTCCCACTGTCTGAGGGACCAGCGAGCGCCATATAGCCGCAAGGTTCCTAGGGGGGTCCGGGGGCATGCTCCCCCGGCAAATTTTGAAATTTGAACCTTCTGACCTGGCATTTCCTGCATTTGTTAGCGGATTTCTAAGGAAAAATCAGACATAATTTTTTATTCAATGACAAAGTGAGCAGTTTTTTTTAACGATTCCAGCTCTGCTGGTGATACAAATCAGTCCATCTTTTAAAGAAAATCTTGGACCTTTAGATAAAAATTAAAACTGGACCTTTCAGCCTTGTGGGGGTACCAGGTACAGAATGTCTATGGCTTTCCCTGACAGGGCAGTAACAAAAAGGGACCGCACGGGCTGCACTTGTAGGCTAAAGTGCGGGCGTGATGAGGTGGAATGTGTGGATTTTACCATGAATCACCATGAAGGCAGGCTTGATCGTTCACGTACTCCGTGATATGGACATTGCTTTGTCAAAAACCCTGGGAAAATGTGCTTACTACACAGCTATATAGCTAGCAATACGTGATGTGAATCTCCTGATGGTGTAACGCACAATTACAAGTGGTGTGCTTTTAGTTGCTAAGTGAGTTGCTGCTTTTGAAGTGATAGTGTAGGCAGCTCACTACAAGACGTACTCTGATATTTTCGCGATATACAAGTTTGGTGGGTTCCTGAACGTGTTGCATTGAAGATATGTGTGTGTTTTTTTGTGTGTGTATGTGTGTGTGTGTGTGTGTGTGTATGGGTGCGTGTGTGTGTGTGTGTGTGTGTGTGTGTGTGTGTGTGTGTGTGCGCGTGCGTGCGTGTGTGTGTGTGTGTGTGTGTGTCGGACACCTTCCTACACAAGCTCTTTTTTACGCAGACAAACGCAACAACAGACATTACTCATTTTCACTTGAGTGAAGTGAGGAAATTCGTGTAAAGCGCCTAGCTTTCACAAGGTCGGTGGCATGCATGGCGCGCAGGAATCGAACCCTGGATCTCTTGGTTTCGAGGCGAACACTCTACCGTTATGCCACACGACCCGACTACACTGAGATCTAGACCCTGTGAAAGTGACTGACCTTCAGGCTAGGCTGCTGTTAGCTCAGCTATATGTGCGCGGCCGTGTCCAGGATACCGGCCCATCCAATACACAAAAACCTTTCTGTGCCCTTGTCACACTAAGACAGGAGGGTGGGTGACCTTGTAGCCTTCCATTACTATATTAAAGTCCTGCCTATGTTTCATCTGCAGCAAAATCGGTTCCTTAAGCTTCCTTAGATGAGGTAGGCTTAAAACTTCTTTAGTATCGACTACAACAATTTGTTCTAAAGAGAGATGGTTTTGATCGCCTTCAAAGCAACCTTACTCCTTTAGAAGCGAACAGGGTATCACGCGATAGCAATGATCACACTTGCTGTAATGTTACATTCCTCCCTAGACGAGTAACTCTAGTAATAGAAAATACGCCACAGAACACATACATTATGCTTCCTCTGAATTCAAGAATGATAATAGCTAAGGCCATGTTGATTTGATTATATGGATGACATGAATTTTCGGCCGTTTCCAAAAAAAAAAAAAAGAAACGTTTTCAACCATACTGTAAATGGTACAAAACAGTTTCAAAATGAGCAAATATATACCGTAAGTTACAAAAGAAAATATTGGAAAACGATATCAATGTCGTAGAATGCCAAAATCAAACGAGAAAGACGAAAATGTAAAGAAATGAATTTAAAGAGTAGATTATTCGCGTGGTGACGTGAATATAAGCATATTGCTTGAGTGAGTCACCACTATGTATTGTATTGTTTGCATTTTGAAATTTAAAAAAAAAACTAAATTTAAGGTATCACCACCATTCTATATACTAGTCACACATCGCATTGTCGGAAGCAATATCATTTCACAACAACATAAACAAGAATTCGTAGATCTCATACCTGCCACAGATCAAATAGATTACATGATTACAATAGCAGTACTATTATATAAAACACTGTAATTATAGAATTTTCTCACTGAATATGCAAATTAAGTCCTCATTTGCATAGTTTGCATTTAATTATGTACAACTCTCTCTCAGCTACCTACATACCAAAAATAATGAAAATACGTTGTTCCAATCTGGACTTATTGGCTTTGAAAGTTTTTACCAGAAACTACCCTGCAGTTCCAGAACAAGCCGCTAGGGGGACCAAACTTACACTACTTATTCCTGACAGGATAAGCTATCCGTCACCAAAACATCAAGACTATAACATATTCGGAAGTTCTGCTGCAGTACCAAGGCCATCCACCAGGAGGCCCATATTTGACCTTGACCTTCGGCTTCCTAAGACTTACCAGCATACCAGATATCATCACAATCCATAAAGGCATTATGAAGTTATGCTGACTACAAATGTGCGGAAACACACACACACATACACACACACACAGACACGCCAAAAACAATACCTCCATTCTTCATGGAGGTAAAAAAACATTGGCATATCTTGCAAGCCACGGTTGGATAGTGAAGGAACTGTACCGGACACATCGGCCTCAAAATGTCATTACACGACTCACTTCTTCATTTTCCCATCAAAACTTTTTCATAAACCTTCATCTTTTGGCGCCTTGTCTTCCACTTAGCCTCTCGGCTGTCGTTCCGAATGAACGGACCGCGGCGCAGTCTGCATTATTTTCCACAAGACGCAAGGCCAATTTTAAACCTGCCAAAGGTTTGCGATCTCCGCAATTTCAAGCTGAGATGACTTCATTTATTTGACGGTATTGTAGTTGGCTTCGGCCATAGTAAGGTATTGTAATTCACTTTATGTTCACGGTAGCAAAATTTCACTGTCTGAGAAAAATGGTCATGTTCACAGAACTATACATTCCCAGTGGCAACAGGTAGAGAAAAAAGAAAGTCCAGCAATTATTTGTTGACTGTAATGATAAGTTCACGGTACAGAAGTGACAGAGAAAACGGTGAACATAACAGTACAGCGAAAAAAAATCAGGAATTACAGTATATAGTACGGCTATCGGGTATGTGTCTGGTTCTATAATCATTTTTCTACTACTATTCTTTTCTTATATATATGCTATAGGAGTTTCAAATTTCAAGACTTTTGTGTTTCGTTCTAGTCATACATTTACTGGGTCTGTGTCCGGTTCTAGAATCATATTTCACATCACTTTTTCCTTATCAAAGTAGGAAAATCAAAGGAATTCCAGTCTGACCTATAGGAGTTTAAAATTTAAACACTTCTTGTGCTTCAAATTTCGAGACTTTTCAATTCTATCAACCCTTGTCCATTCATTATTTGAACCCAGTGCACCCCTTTAATTCTTCTAAGGTCTGTCTAGTCATACATGCATATTTCAGAGGGATACCTTTTTTGTTCAAAGTTTTATGAATCCACTAGGAACGTGCTGGAATGGGGCTATAATGTTACGACTCTGTAAAGATGTTTTATAGAGAAGGTGCTATATATGAGACCTCTTTCTGCTGTCTTGGGTTGTACATCCATAATGCAGCGTTGGACACACAAAAACGTTATTCAATCTTTGCTTTAGGCTTGGAGGTCGCCTCGGAGGTCATGCTTTTAGCTCCTACATGTATTCTCACTTAGGCCCGCCTTTCAACTTTTATATCGTCTTCAATCAAGTGTGCTTTTGATTGAACAATTACTCAAGATGACGGCAAGCATACTTCTTTTCTTTACTTGTTCTCTCTCTGCCTGTCTCTGTCTCTCTCTCTCTCTCTGTCTGTCTCTGTCTGTCTCTGTCTCTCTCTCTCTCTCTCTCTCTCTCTCTCTCTCTCTCTCTCTCTCTCTCTCTCTCTCTCTCTCTCTCTCTCTCTTAATACACTCGTAATGTGTACGACACAGTGCGTGACCAGGGCTCTAAATACTGGGTGCATGTGCACCTTAGTGCACCCAAATATTTTCGTAGGTTTAGATATGCAAAGATGTTAAATGTATAGAAGAATAGCGCATATTCTTAACATCTGAGTGTCAGAAAAAATAATCTTTCTAGTACTTTTCTTTAGAAATGAAGTATAATTAGTTTTTGCTGACATTCTACTTATTCTATTTTTTATATGGTGCACCCAAAATAATTTTGTGCACCCAATTGTTTGGAGCACCTGTGCAGCTACCCCCCCCCCAAAAAAAAAGAAACGAATTTCGAGTCCAGTTGATCAGCTGGTTTTACAGAATTAGTTTCATTGATAAAAAACGCGAAGGAATGATTCGCTACGTAATTTGTAATATGTTTTTGAAACCGCCGTTTCTTTTATAGAGTCACTATAAATATCTCTTTCGAGAGTGCTCTATGATTGCTGCTCCACTCATCACTATATATAAAGCAGCACTTATAGGAATGAAGTTAACGATTTTATGATGTTCTTGACATCCCCAGTTACTGAGCAGGGTCACCCCGTCCTAACTGATGAAGTAGTGGTACCATTTGTGTAATGAACCCCCTCCATACGTACATTACTCAAATGGATTCTCGCCAGTATGTCTAAGGCCACAGCAAGTAAACTTTATGGATGACATCCTTCTCAGACTCCAAATACAATGCGATAGGGTGACAAAAAACAAGGCGGGCCAAAAAAACAAGATTCCTACACTTTCAAATTTTGACATCATAAACCTTGTAAATTAACAAGAAATTATACATATATTGTGCTAAGCTTACTGAAAACTGTTACACTATCCACATTTGTCACTGAAACAAAATAAAAGTTTTCAATCATTGTACAAATGGTTTTGATTCAGTGGGAACATCACATACAATGTATACACAGCCATGTATACCATCACATGTAAAAGGAATGAAATACATCACTGCATCAAAGTTAAATACAAAACAATAAATCAGAGCCTTGTCTTGTCTTCTCTCTTCATATCTATCTGCCATCCACGTTTCAGCATGGCAACATACATCTTTGCCCATTTTTGGCATGTTGACCACTGTCAGAGGGCAACAAAATTTCTTGTTTTTTTTTTCAACATCAGACGCAAATCAATGCTCGCCTGATGTCATCCATAAAAACCACTTGCTGTGGCCTAAGCAAGTTGACTACGCCTCCCCCATACGTTTCCGCCTTTTTCATTCCTGTAATTCGCTTGAAATCCTAGAAGAAATATGTGTTTGAAAATCTGTGGTTGTTTTCAAGGCTCCCATTGACGTACATTAGTACTGACGTTCGTAGCGACAGACCGTTACGGTGTACTTTGTATTGTACTTAAACCCGCCTCTTCAGCCTAATACTTCAGCTTACCATATACGGTCAGAACGGGTCCTCTTACAAAGAAGTGACGTCTTTTTAGTTCTGAAGTGATGCGGCTTGTGACTGGGTAACTCAGTCGTCAGCGCAGTACAGAGGATCAGAGCGTTCTGTTCGGAAGACATTACGGTTAAGCAGTGTGGAACGTGGACTGTTTGAGAAAAGGAGTATTTGTCTCACAAGCGAAGTTAGTATAAACCTTGCTCTGCTGGTGAATTTAGTTTAATAGAATCGTCAGCTGTGCTTGTCGATGTATATTTCATAATATCATCAGTTGTGTGTGTGTTAAATTTTTTTGGCGACGTCTCAGGGAGGAGCCTAATGGTACAGTATTGTGTGCAATTTGCAAGAATTCTAGGAATTGTACAGGAATTTTGTCCACAGGCATGGGATGTCCACAGGAATGTCTTCTAGCTTTGTTTGTTGACATGCCCACATTCCTGGAAACCGTTGGGAAAACCTGTCTGCCCCCACATTCCTGGAAACCTGTCTGCCCCGGATGCCCCACTTTCTGTCACTCTGGGGCCTCGTTCACTATACACTCAGGGGAGGGGAGGGTACCAAGGCTTCCTCAAAATCATGAACTCATGGCAGTGCCATGCAAACAATAACCCCAACAACAACCACCGTCGCCATGGCAATGTGTGTTTTCATTGCCAGTCTTGTTTATTCTATTCTACAGTACATCCATGAGGCTAGCACTCTCCAAACGGACGGCCGTTCTCGGCTTGCTGTGGATCACGATGGTGGAGGCTATAGGAGATGTAACCGAAGAAGAAAGTAAGTTTGCTCCAAAACGTGGTAAGTCGAATCGTGAAGAGGGTCAGAAATGTTTAATCTGCTTAATGAATCATTAATTATGGTAGTAATTTCATAGAGGGTTTAAAATCATGTTTCTTACAATGAAATATACAAAGATGAAAGATTGCCTGGGTAAAGCCTAGTTCATCCCTTTATCTCTCGATACAGCATTAAAAGGATGTCACAGGGCAAGTAAGACAAAAGAATACAGTTTAAAAGTTACTATGTGCATCGGACATTTCTGTGGTTCAATTAAAATGATAAGTTGTAAGTAAGTACATTTTATACATATATATAAAAAAATACGTTTTAGAGATATGTCTAAAAATCATTCCAGTAACATCAGAATTATCTTCTACAAGAGAAAAGCCCCGAAGTATATGTCCGGTGTGTTTCTGGCATAGTATGTGGCATAAAATGCTCATTTTATGTTTATATTGATTAGTATTGACCGGTATCTGGAGGTATCTGTCTCAGAAAAGTTGTGAAACCGTAATAGCATTGAAAAGTGTTTGTTCCAAGCCACTGAAAATCGCCTGTTTCTTACAATTCCATTAAGTAACACCCGTAGTGAGTTCAAAAGGAGCGAATTCCTGCAAATACAATTTTGAAAGATAAGGAAAAAAAAATCAACATTCCAAAACATCTATAGAGAATCGAGGCTCGTATAGCTCCGTCCTTGGTGCTGAATGACTTCCATTAGGGTAACCATTATACCTAACGCACGTATTGTTGCCTTTGTAGCTTTTCCGAGACATTTTGTCGATTCTAAACGCCTGTTGGACAAAGATAGGCTTCATTCTGGTTCACAGAACGTACCTTCTACCTGTTAAGTGGATACCGATAGTGATCAACATCCAAACAGAGTGCCTGAGGTCTGTGTGATACGCACGTCTGTGCTAGGGATTACGGAATGATGAGAACTCTGCGGACAATTTACTCTTCTGTTTTTTTTTGTACGATTTCAGGGGTGCCAGAGTATACAGTGCAATTTTACGGAATACAGTGCAAGTTTACTAGTATACAGTGCAATTTTACGGAATACAGTGCAAGTTTACTAGTATACAGTGCAATTTTACGGAATACAGTGCAAGTTTACTAGTATACAGTGCAATTTTACGGAATACAGTGCAAGTTTCCTAGTATACAGTGCAATTTTACGGAATACAGTGCAAGTTTACTAGTATACAGTGCAATTTTACGGAATACAGTGCAATTTTACAAATGACGTTGTTATGACGTAACCTGGGCCCAGCTTTCCAGGGACGCCGCTGACGGAGCGTACTCACATATTTCTGTGTTTTTCGAGCGAATTTGGACCGTTTTCGTAGATAGACCTTTATCAAATCACTACATACTACACACAGGGCATGTTACTGCACAGGGATCATTTCGAATTCGCTCGAAAAAGACAGAAATATGTAAGTCAGCGGCGGCGCGCGTCAGCCATCTTGAAACTCAAGGAAAGCCGGGTCCAAGTCACGTGATTCAACGTCATTAGTAAAATTGCACTGTATTCCGTAAAATTGCACTGTATTCTAATACGATTCCACTGTATTCCGTAAAATTGCACTGTATTCCGTAAAATTGCACTTTATACTCTGGCACCCCTGGATTTGGCTTTCGGAAATGAAATCCAGACAGACTATATTCATGTGGAAAATCATAACACACAAGGATTCTAACTGGTCTATGTCTATGTTATAATTGTCATATGACAGAACTCTTTTATCATGTACCACTTGTACATTGTAGTCTTTAATTGTAATATTATCTGTAACACACACGCAAATGACATAGAGCATTTGCAGCATGTTATTTCGGACAGAAATGTCATTTTCCTTTATGGGAACAGGGCTTGTTAGTATATGCTAGTGCCATATCGCCGTTTGATGTATTGTGTCTTTTTTATATATATTTATCAAATCACATAAAAGAAAAATACAAGACTGCGATGGTACTCAAGTTAATACACACTTACATAAGCGCCGCCAACAGAAAATAATTAACAAATACATAATACTACATGAAAGTTACACACAAATAAACACAAGCAAGTCGTGGGGTCGTGTGGCGTAGTGTGCTCGACTCGGAATCCAGAGATCCCGGGTTCGAGTCCTTGGGAAAGGCACTTAACACGAATTTCCTTACTTTGCTCAGGTGAAAATAAGTATTGTATTGTCCCATCCCATGTGTTGGTGGCGGCACTAATATAAGTTGGGAAAACTTGAGCGTGCCGTCACCACGTCTTGTGATTAGATGTTGGGATATATTAAACACTACTGGGGACAAAATCAAGTAAAACTAACCTAAATGCGCCGTAATGTCTGGGGACATTTAAAAAATTGTTTTTCTGACAGTGTGGTCTGCAGTAGAGGCTGCAGAGGCGTGGAGAGAGTGCCCGGATGTTGAAACCTACAACGCCTACATGACGTCATGTGTTCTCACCTTTGCTGAGGACGTCAGTCAGCTTGGGAACGAGACGAGATGCGTTTGGCCCAAACCGTCCCTGGTGGCCTTACGGTAAGGTTTCACTGCTCCCCCTGTTAACCATAGCCTTCACTGCACCCTCATGAATCTAAATGCTAATTTTTTGTGCATTTGTATCTATCTACATCCTAGCAAAATGGGTTACTGGCCAGGAAGCATTTTGACATGCTTAGTATGTAAAAAGTTTGTTGTTAGAGATGTCCCTGGTGGCCTTACGGTAAGGTGCTGCTGCTCCCCCTGTTAACCATAGCCTGCACTGCACCCTCATGAATCTAAATGCTAAATTTTTGTGCATTTGTATCTACATCCTAGCAAAATGCGTTACTGCATGGCCAGGGAGGTTTTGACATGCCTAGCATATAAAGTGTTTGGCTGTTGTTGGAGATGTGTCTGGTATTTTTCTTGTTACTGTCAAAACACAGATTGACCTGTTGTTTAATGCAATACAAACATACAGGGGAGGGGGGTGGCATACATCGACATTTATGCTTCAGCATAGTCTGAGCAAAGTCGATCTTTTTTACAAAACCAAGTGTAAAATGTAAAATGTATAAAGTATAACCAACCAATTCACAGCTGACGTTTCGATCACCGTCTGTCACCTTCCTCAGGGCAATTCTGACTGGTTGACATTGCACTGCAGCACAGGTGTCGCTGCTACAGATGCATTCCCAAACGTACAATATTTACATAATGTGTTGTGCCTATCTATGTTGTGCCTATTTACGTCTGTGAATAAAACACTTGTTTGTGTAAAAAGCGCGACTTTATTCAGTGACTTACCAACCTGATGAAACTATTCACCTGATTTAGCATAGTCTATCTCTAAGAGTTTCCGTAAATAATTTCATCAGGTTGGTAAACGAATGAAAAGCAAAGTTCTTTTTTTTTTTAAGTTCATTTTTTTATTCATTTCATTAGAGAAACAAAATCATGGAACAAGAAAATAAATGACGTACATGTATGACCACAAAACTGATACATAAAACCGGCAGACAATAAACAGTAGAAATAATAAGAAATTAATGAGAACCCCCCAGGAAAATAAATTAAAACAATTGCCAAAGAAAAACTTGATCGGTATGACAAAGCAAAGTTCTTTTATTACAACCATTTATTTTTTTTACGAGCCGACGTTTCGATGACCGTGTGTCATCTTCATCAGGGCAATTCTGACTGGTTTACTAGCTTAAGTGTACTGTGAACCAAGTAAGAGTGCACGGTGAACTATGTGACACCTTTAGTGCACTATGCACCAAGTAACATCTAGCGTCAGTACACAGTAAATCAGTCAGAATTGCCCTGATGAAGATGACAGACGGTCATCGAAACGTCGGCTCATAGAAAAATAAATGGTTGTGATCAAAGAACTTTGCTATTCATTCGTTTACCAACCTGATGAAATTATTTACGGAAACTCTTAGAGATAGACTATGCTAAATCAGGTGAATAAGTCACTGAGTAAAGGCGCTCTTTTTACACAACCAAGTCTTTTATTCATAGACGTAAGTAATGTACATAGATAGGCACAACACATTATGTAAATATTGTACGTTTGGGAATGCATCTATAGCAGCGACACCTGTGCTGCAGTACAATGTGAACCAGTCAGAATTGCCCTGAGGAAGGTGACAGACGCTCGGCTCATAGAAAAATAAATGGTTGTGATCAAAGAACTTTGCTCTTCTTTCTCTAAGAGTTACGTTTGCCCCCAGGCCGTACCAAAGACTAACGGAGTGTGCCACGCTGGTTGGAAAACTCACCGACTGTCGCGACGCCGTGGTCCTGAGCAGAGTTATGCTGGCGCTCCACAGAATATTCTACGTCGGTTGTCCCAGACCCCCGGAGCACATGCTGGAAGCCCCACCTCACATCATAGCCTGTTTCGTCACCTTGACAACCACCATGACGATTGCAGTCGCCATCATGCTCTCTCTGTCCAGAAATCCACCAATCAAAATACGCCGTACATAATTCTTTTAGTATCATAAAAGTTCATCCGTGTTGGTAGTTACATGTTTAGACTTAATTATTAGAGTTAAAATTTTAGATCCAACACAAAAAGTTCTCTCACCTAGAGCTTTCGACCAGTCACTCTGGTCTTCCTTAGTAGACTGACCCAGTGAGGCTTGTCAAGTGGTTTCTTTGATGTGTGACGTCAACACTGGGTCAAAGGTATCTGGTAGACGATGTCGACCCCCGTCGCGGTTTAGTGAAGGGTAATGGGCCCCGATGTATATAGCCTGGGTCAGTCTTCTGAGGAAGACCAGAGTGAATGGTCAAAAGCTCTAAGTGAGAGAACCTATTGTGTTGGGTCTAAAGTTTTAACTCTAAACATAATAGTACTTTTAGCACTCTTTTGCAGACTGGTTGTGATAATTTTGAAGGACAATCGGGTAAAAGAAAAAAACAGCGACACCAAAGGGTTTTTGTTGTTATCCAAAGTTTATAAACATAAAGTTTTATCTTATGAACAAATATATGTATGTAAGGAATCCATATCATAAATAATCAAACTTGTGTACCCTTTCAAAAATCCTTTGCAAGAAAAATGTATATAACAGTGTTTTTATTCGTCTTTGATACAATACATTGTACCATGTAATTTGCTATAAGGCTACAGCAAGTAATTTTTATGGATGACATCAGCGCGCGCATTAATTTTCGCCTGATTTTGGAAAAATAAAAATAAATTTTGTTGCCTTCTGACAGTGCTCAACATGCCGAAAATGGGCAAAGATGTCTGCTGCCATGCCGGAACGTGGATGGCAGATAACTATGAAGAGAGGAGACAAGAAAAGGCTCTGATTTCATGTTTTGCTTCTTATTTTAATGCAGTGATATGTGATGCTGGCTGTGTATATGTGATGATCCCACCGAATAAAAACCATTTGTACAATGATTGAGTCAAAATTCTAAAATGTAGGAACCTTGTTTTTTTCGGCCCGCCTTGTTTTTTTTTTCGCCCGCTCGCATTAGATTTCGAGTGTGCGGGGGATGTCATCCATAAAATTTACTTGCTGTGGCCTAAGGTCATATTGTGATTGTCAAACATGAGCGCTGAAGATGATATTTCCTCTAATTCATAGCCACTCAGTAGTCATACAGTTAGTACGTCTGTTAGCTTGATAGAGCCGCCTAGCGGAATAACAGCGAGATGCACCTATGTGAAACAGTGTCCTTTGTACCATGTGCCATAGCAATATTACATGAAATATTTATCGAAGCAATTTGGCCCGCAGATCGTTTATCATGTCAATAAACTATTGATGTATTTGAACTTCTTTGAGACTCCTTCATATGAACCCATTTTGCATACAGTTTGCTTTACAGAACTAATAACATTGAACATGATACATACAGTGTCACTGTATTTGATAAAACATTTATTTTTCTTTATTATATGTCAATATGCCATAGGTAGATATGTTACTGTTAAAGGAATTCGAATAACATTCTCCAGTTGCGCTTAAACCTGTTTGTTTCTTGCAGAACAAGTATATCAGTTTTGTGTACCATATCATTATTTCGTCACCTTGATACCAGACTATCTCAGATCATTGCAAGAAAAGCGCCACTAATCAAGAGAGAGCCTTTAAAAGCATGGATTTACATCTAAGCCCTGCCAACCCGGATTTGAGACCTTGCGTGTCACATTTTTAGGACACTCTCGAGTTAATTGCGTCGTTTTGTAACCACCGCGTAAGCCTTGTTTAACCTCGGGGGTTTTGTGTGAACTCCCCCGCCGGTGTAGAAGGACAGCCGCCGGTATACCGTGGTGTACACGGGCAGTGGACTCACGGGGATCTGACAAGCATTGGGACAGCGATATCTTCTGTCACTGAATGTTATACCGTATATAACATCGGGTATAACCAGTCACCACATATACAGGATATACAGGTAAGAGAAATACGTTCTTTTAGTTCAAACGATAATGTCCAAAAGGCACATCCGCATACGGCGCCATTTAATATCATGAATTATTGAGATATTTGACAGATCAAACAGGGGGTTATTGTAGCGTGCTGACTGAGGCTGGGGTAATAACGCTTTTAGTGGTTTTAATATTTCATAATATGGCTGGATTCTGTATCGTAAAGGCTGCTTTAATCAAGATGTGGTTAGAACAATTCCAACCTCCCACTCCAAAATCTAGGCCTACTCTCAAGCTCATCAAATAGAGTCTGCCAGTGTAAAACTGTCAAACACTATTAGATCAACATGAGACAAAAATTAGACAAGTCCATCAACAGTGATAACAAAACAAGATTATTTCGAGAAAGTAGGACGACAAAGAAGGGAAAAAATGACGAAGGAAATTTGTAGCAAGTTAAAGCTGAACCCCTCTCTGTATACGTATTTGGAGCTCCGTTTACTTCAAGGACATCATTTGCATTCCGAAAGCGAATAACCTATTTTAGGACGCTTTCAGATACATGTGTATGGTTAATTCTCACAAGCAGGCTAGCGTTGGTTTACTTCAAGCCTCTTGATCATGATCAGGCCACACTGACTTAATTTTATGGATGACATCCACGCGAGCATTGATTTTCGGCTGTTCTCAAAAAAAAAATGTCACGCCCACCGAGGCTCTAGCCTGGCTCTAGTAGTTAGCGACAATACGGAGCCGGGTACCCAGGCTACCGAAGCTCCACGACTCAAGAACTCAGTACATACGTACAGTGCCGATTCATAAATTCCCCAAAAAGACAGCATGTGCCGGCTTGTCGTATACGTCGCTAAGTACTACCGCAAATTCACTATACCAGCTTTGTATTCCTGTGGTTTAGTAGCATTTTAATTTTTGGCCGGACTTTTTTTATTCGCCCGCGCGCACTAGTTTGGGAGTCTTCAAAGGATGTCATCCATAAAATTAAGTCGACGTGGCCTAAAAGCGTCAATTCTACGGCAAAGCACACTTGGTAATGTTTTTCTTAATACGAAACATAATGACAATAACTCTAACTCCATGATTGTTTCAACAAAAGCTTATCAACTAAAACTGGATCAGACCGCATTGCTGTTATCCCCCAGATTGGTCTAAGGCCACATCAAGTAATTTTTATGGATGACATCAGCGCGCGCATTAATTTTCGCCTGATTTTAAAAAAAAAACAAGAAATTTTTTTGCCCTCTGACAGTGGTCAACATGCCAAAAATGGGCAAAGATATCTGCCATGCCGAAGAGAAGACAAGACAAGGCTCTGATTTATTGTTTTGTCTTTTACTTTGATGTAGTGATGTATTTTCCTTTTTATATGTGATGGTGACTGTGTATAAAAAACACAGGCTATCTGTTGCCATGCATTTCATTCCTTTTATATGTGATGTTCACAGAATCAAAATCATTTGTACAATGAAAATCTGGAATGGTTGGCAGTAAACTTAGCACAGTATAGGTACCATTTCTTGTTTAACTAGGTTTATGATGTCAAAATGTGAGAATGTAGGAATCTTGTTTTTTTTGGCCCGCCTTGTTTTTTTGCCCTATCGCATTAGATTTGGAGACTGCGGAGGATGTCATCCATAAAATTTACGTGCTGTTGCCTAATCAACATGGACAATGAGGTAACAGTGTCTCGGTAAGGGGCTTTCTGGAGTCTTCAATTATTGAGGATGGGTTTTTAAGCCTTCTGCCATACCGCTCTAATTTGATTTAACATTATACATGTAGATTCACTACAAAGATAACCTTGGAATATATTGATTCTTGTACCTGCAGTACTGGCACGCTTAAATGATCAAAGCTGTTTACATGTATGGTGTATTCACACAAAACAGGACTTCATTCCGCGTCACAATGTGGGCACAAAAACGTGTAACGGGCTACTAAGGCCATGTTGATTTGATTATATGGATGACATCCTCTGGGAGCTCCAAAACTGACGCGAGCGTGCGAATAAGAAAAGGGTTGGCAAAAATCAGTTGCAATTTATGTGGTAATTACTACACAGAGTAGTAAGTATGGTATGGTGAAAAAAATATTCTCTTCATTTTCCCATTTCCTCTTTTCCTTTGGAATTGGCATTCTATATATTAACATTAGTATCTTATTTTTCAATATTGCAATTTACGGCAAATATTTGCTCATTTAGCTGCCGGTACGATTGTTGTTCACTTTTCTTTCCGCTTGTTCAACTGATTTCAATACAATGGATCCCATAGATGAATTCAATTACATTCTCAGGGGAGATAACCAAAACAGTGTTCAAATAGGGAAATACATTAAAGAATGTTTAAATCTCAGACAATTTATGTTAGACAATAGTTGGACCTTTATTCTTGTCGCTGATATGTATTCTGTAAATAGTTTGCCGCGAACATATATAGATATATATATTATCCCTTTAGTAGGATTACTTTATTCATACATGTATTTATGTATTAAGCTTTGTTAGATCTTCAGTTGTAGAAGACAAAAGTTCCCGTACTTTCTGTTTCAGTCAATAAAAATCCCTATCAACTTCGTACCAATGTACTAAACAACATATTTACACTTGCAGCTATATAAGCATGGATTTATATCATATACATTTACTGCGCTAACCTATACACCAAAATCTTTATGATGGTGGGCTGAAAAGGGCATACATGTAGTTGTTGAAATACAGCTTAATATAGAAGGTAAATGTACACGTATGCTCCCTTAGAGATTCAATTAACACAAAAGTGCGTGATTTGAATGTAATATATGATAGAGGAGGCAGATTATTGTCACGTTCTGCTGCTCATCCCTATCCTCATATATATGTAATAATATGTTAGGCCACAGCAAGTAAATGTTATGGATGACATCCTCCGCAGACTCCAAATCTTATGCGATAGGGTGAGAAAAAAAGGCGGACCAAAAAAAAATGATTTCTACATTTTCAACTTTTAATACCATAAACCTTGCTCAACAAGATTTCTACATTTTCAACTTTTAATACCATAAACCTTGTTCAACAAGAAATATATTGTGCTAGGTTCACTACCAACTATTACAACATCAAATTTCTCACTGAAACAACTTTGGAAAATAAAAGTTTTCAATGATTGTACAAATTGTTTTGATTCAGTGGGAACATACACAGCCACTATCACAAATAAAAGGAATGAAATACATCACTGCATCCACGCAAAAGACAAAGCATTAAATCAGAGCCTTGTCTTGTCTCCTCTCTTCATATTCATCTGCCATCCACGTTGCGGCATGGTAACAGACATCTTTGCCCATTTTCGACATGTTGACCACTGTCAGAGGGCAAAAAAATTTCTTGTATTTTTTTTCAAATTCAGGCAAAAATGAATGCGCCCGCTGATGCCAACCATATAAATCACTTGTTGTGGCCTTAGTAGAAAGCAAGGCCGGAGATACATTCATGCCCAGGGCCATACGTGCTTGTGGAAAATCCCCAAGGATGGGGCAAGGCAGTGACTTGAAGGTGCCGTATGCTGAACGTCGACCTCTGGGGCACCATTTAATCCGACAGTAACTTCTATGCATGAATACACGTAGGGGCTTAACTAAGCTCAGAGACCTTCAGTTGAACGTCCAATATATTCCCCGTGCTTTGAACGGTAACAGAATACAAATGTCTACGCTTGATGTAAATTACGAACTAGAGAAGTAACATTTGCAAAGCAAATGCATAATGTTTATCTTCGGACATGGTCTGCCCTGTTAATTTTTACTCAAACACATTCACACACATGTACTACTAGTATATGGTGACAGGAGTAGAGCAGACCATTAAATTGCAACATTATGTAACCCAACACCAGTCACCATGGTAACAGACGTCAACAAATCATGTCATTGGCCAGGTCAGAGGTTAGTGTTTGGAACAGAAGAGGAGGAAGAAACTGAGTAAAAACATTATAACGCAAAGCGTCACTTGTAGAGACTTGGGCGTGAAAACTAATTTAAGTAAATTATGTAATTTAAGTAGTATGCTACCACTTTTTTTAAAAGTAAGTTGGATCAATCCCGCTTCGTTGCAAATAAGTGTCATTTAGGAAGTGTAAATGCCAAAAAAAGACGTCTTGCGAGTGTGTTTAAAGGTTTGAAACACAACTGCAGGTGTCAGCCATGTTTGTTTATATTCTGGTAGTTTGAGGTGACACCACAAACTGAGTGCGCCTTGTGTGAACCGTTTTTAGCGCCAACCATAAATGTAAGAAATGTAACATTGTTGCACAAATATGTTTAAAAAGTGAGAGTAAATTACCATTACACGAATAATTCTTTAAATAAAAATTTCAATTTTTCGGTGCAAAAAAATAAAATGTTACACAATGCCCCTTTAATGGAGACCATAAAACTTTTACTGAATTGGACAACACAATGTCTAATCAGACAAAGGAAAAGAGCCAGGCTCCTCTACCTCCGAACCTGCAGCTCTCTCCATAACCCTGAATGTTCTACATTTACCGAGTGAAACGGCAACGATTATCACCGCAGGCAGCCACCATGGGAGCCGGGAAAGTCTTTCATTAGTTCGGCATGAGGAGTTTTAACTCACGGCGTACTCTACCCCGGTACAGTCGGTACTGATGGATAACCGCTTCACAGAATAATGGTATTACATTTAAAGGCCACATCGACTTAATTTTATGGATGACATCCTCTGAAGACCCCCAAACTAGTGCGCGCGGGCGAATAAAAAAATCCGGCCAAAAATAAAAAAAAAAGCTACTAAACCACAGGAATACAAAGCTGGTATTGTGAATTTGCGGCAGTACTTAGCGACGTATACGACAAGCCGGCACATGCTGGCTTTTTGCGGAATTTATGAATCAGCACTGTATGTATGTACTGAGTTCTTGAGTCGTGCGGAGCTTCGGTAACCTGGGTGCCCGGGTCCGTATTGTCGCTAACTACCATGTACTATCCAGGCAAAAAACAATGCGCGCGCGGATGTCATCCATAAAATTAAGTCGGTGTGGCCAAATGGCGCGACGGTCTGCCTGGCACGTTAATCGGACAATTTAGCCTTGATGGAAGCGACACCTGCGTCGTGGGGAATCTTGAATGCTGAAGCTTTCAACCGTAGGCTTAGATGTACCTGTGACTTAAGCCTGCATCTTTCATATGCATTTGGGCTGTAAGGAATGCCAACGAAGGGTAGAGTCTACAGCGTTCAAAATTGCCGTTTCGTCGTGTCGTAAAGGGGAATGGTAAGAACATTATGCACGTATTTCGTCATATATTTCACTTCTGATATGTGGGAATATTTGTACAATATGCAAAATATTTGTCATTTATTTATACAGAGAAATCTTCTTCCTATCACGGAGAGAGTTGGACTTCTGCAAAATTTCTCCGTCATGTTGGACACAGAGGCCTACCACCTGACCATCGCTCTGTTCTCAGGTTAGTTATGTTTTTGATATATAGTCAATATTAGAAATATGGCTGGTTAGATTTAAACCGATGAGAAATATAGCTGGAAACCGAGGCCCCTTAGTACAGTACAATGACCGAGAGCAAGAACGAATAGATATAAGAACTCGCCCATACCGTTTATGGTCCAGCTCCTCAATAACTATGGACTGAACCCCTCACTGTTGTCTTTTTAAATGTAGTACACTGTTCTGTATCAAATGTTGTCCGGGAAATTTATAATGTATGAAACATGTATTTTTATTCGTTTGTTAATCGTACGCCTATATTGATTGCAAACCTGTAGTTTTAATATACAACTAAATGTTGTGTAAATTGGTTTACAATTCAGTTGTTTTTAACTGCGAAGAACCAATAAATCCATCTTGAATTGAATGAAAAAAATGGCCTATAAACAGTTACTTTTATTCAGATTTGTTCGTCTGTTCGTATAAGTTTTCGAGAGCAGTACGTGAAAATTGCTTATGTATACCCCCCCCCTCCCACTAACACAAAACAGTAACGTGGTGCTTTGGTATTTTCACAGCAATGCTGCTGGGTATAGAAGGCGACTGTAACATTACGTCTTTCCATGTGGACCTGATAAAATCAGTCGACACGTACATTTCTGACGCCCATGGTATAACAACGGAGACTCGGGACGACGAGCCTATCTCACCATACTGCAGGTAATTACGTACATGGGTTTGGAGAATTTGCTGACATGATATTTTAACTGAACACATTGTGGGACAGCCATGGCACGAAAAGCGGTATTTACGGATGCTTAACCCATGCTTAAAGTCAACGTATACGCATCTTTACGCATCTATACATGTACACCTCTTAATTATACGAGCACGTGAAGATCGTCGTTACGTGGTGTTTCCGTAGTTGTGGATGGATCCTTATTTTCCGATTTTCACGCAGCCTTTCAGCAACTTAAAGATGCCGTAAATAATGATTAAAGCATGTTTAAATTGTGATAAAAAATTTTACGTTTTTTGTCTTTTTTCACAATTTATTACAGCTCCTATAATAGTCTAGACATACTTCCCAAGTCCGCCACGTAGTAGCAAGTGCCGGTTTTTTTTTAAATTAATTTTGAGTATGATATTCGCAAGCAATATACTTCAGCAAAACAAACGATACACGCGAATCCAACTGGTAAGCTCTCCCATCGGTCATGACCGATTTTTCTATCGATCGTATGATCCTGGGCAACTGCGTCTCCTGAAAACATATTAACCTTTGGACTTGCCCCATTGCATCTGCTTGGTATCTCCTAACTCCAGGCGGTACATAGACGTACTGACCTGCTCGGAGCTGTTACTGGCAGAAATGCCAGACTGTAACTCGTTGGAAATACAAGAAGCGTTCCCGACAGTGCGAGAGGCCAGACAGCCATCTGAAGATTGTGGGCTGCAGAGCAACATCACTTGGTACAATTCTACCGCTGGTACGAATAGACTTTTAACTAGAAGAATAACATTTGCAAAGCAATTGCATAATGTTTATCTTCGGACATGGTCTGTTCTGTTAATTCTTACTCAAACACATTCACATACATGTACTACTAGTACTAGTATATGGTGACATGAGTAGAGCAGACTATGAAATTGCAACATTGTGTAACCCAACACCAGTCACCATGGTGACAGACGTCAACAAATCATGTCATTGGTCAGGTCAGAGGTTAGTGTTTGGAACAGAAGAGGAGGAAGAAACTGAGTAAAAACAATATGTTTTCCTTAGGTAAACATAATTACTATACATGCTGATGTACACCCTTGAGGAGTTAGACATTGTAGTAATTTGCAGTAATGCATCAGTTGCTGGCGTTTACTAGTTTTTAGCCATGAAATCATCGAAAATCGACTTGTACTTTTAAAATCAAATGCAAAACTTGGCCTGACTTCTGACCCTTCCATAACGACAAATTTGAACGAATTGGACTATGAATTTGTACATTTTAGTTGTATTATTATTATAGTTATTATTATTTATCATTTTTTTTATTGGTTAGTTACCGTTTTTCATTATTATCATTGTCATTATCATCGTTTATTGTATCTTAATTGTATTGTTTGCACGTGACTTAATGCATTTTGTTATTTGTGTATGATACAGGGTCCCACTGAAAAGCAGTGATATCACTGAGTGGGCAACCCTGTATAAATATGACGGAAAATAAATATGTAAATAAATTCATAAAAAGTTTGAATATGTATGTGTAAGTACTTTAGGTTCGTGTGTATTTCAATCATCTATTGTACTCCTAAGGAGAAGATGACTTTCTACACGAAGAAGTGATAACGCGATGCAGACAGTGGATCTACCGGGGATACCTGCAGACGTGCACGGAGAGATTCGCCAAGACTATCTCAACTGTGAAAAAGTCGGAACTTTGCGTTTGGCCTGGGGAACAGGTCGGGTACGTATTCACAGATTATCGTTGTTCATTCAAGTTTCCAATGGTTTTCCACTGGTAAACATGTAAATTTTGCGTTAACAGTAAGTGTGTTTGGTATTTCTGATTGATATACTTGAATTTAATTACTTACTTAAGGCTGTCCATCAGCTAGTATAGCATAGAGTGAGACATATGCAAAGAAGGTTTTAAGTGCATTACTCAGGATGGGGCACAGATCTCTGTCTACTATCTTGGCCCCTCCGAGAGAATTGTCGTGGCTAGAGAAAGCCTGGCTCTAATCTCCAAGCAGTTCTTCTGGTGGCTACCAGGCAGTATCCATTGTCCAGACAGTTACCATTTCGCCACGGAATGCCTGGCCAATTTGATTCTGTCTTTGCAGCCACCACTTAAAAGATCTGCTTGGAGATTAGACTGGCTCACTGCACACGGTGGGGTTATATAATTTATATATGTGGCATATTAAATCAGCTACCGATGTCATTCAACAAAGTGTTGCTCTATTTAAAGTTAAAACTTTCGATCCTACACAAAAATTCTCTCACTTAGAGCTTTAGACCAGTCTTTGTTTGTTTGTTTGTTTATTGGTTCGCATATAATTTAATAACAATAAAATGAAAATGTTACTGACAATAAAATAAAATGCTGGGGAAAGATATGAAGCCATAGTGGCTTGTCTGGGATCTTCCCCGACAAAATTAATTAACAACTGAAATAATGCTAACAAATCACATGATAATAATAAATAACAATAGGTAATTAATAAATTTGATCAATATGATCAAAATGATAATAGTAACAAAACAAATAGTAACATGAATAACAAAAGTGATTGATAAATAACGCTAATTAGAAATGATATGTTAAAAACTATAACTTTAACGTTAACAGAACTTTAACTGCAATACAGACATTGGCAGAATTGAAGCAATAACTCAAGAAAATAAATGAATTTTAAAGAGAAACGGAGATTCAAACTTATACAGATGAAATCAAAGTAATAAGAAATCAAATGTCGGTGGAAAAGAAAAGTAGGTGATTTTTAAGATTTCGTTTAAAGCTAATTATTGATGTTAAACATTTTAGGTGGAGCGGGAGATTATTCCAAGTAGTTATACATTTATATTTTACACTCATTTGGGCTAAGGACGTTCTAACTAGGGGGATATGGAAATGGGCACTTTGTCGAGTTTGGTAAGTATGAAAATGGGAATTAAGATTTAGAAGACCATTAAATGTGTCTGGAAGAGAACAAGTAAGGAATTTAAACGTAAATAACATCAGATGAAGTTTGTTTATGTCAAAAATATTCAAAATATTAAGTTTTGTAAACAAAGGTGCAGAATGTGCGTGGAAACTGGCGCCGGTGGCTGAACGAACAAATCTTTTTTGGAGTAATACTAGGGGCTGTAGTGGGATTTTGTAGGCGCATCCCCAGACTATATTCCCGTAGGTTAGATATGGGTATATTAAGCTATTGTATATGGTAATAATGGTTTTTTGAGTAAGAAGATGTTTAATTTTTCCAATAATACCGATAGTTTTTGAAATTTTTATACCTAACATAGTTATATGTGGTTTCCAGGTCAATCGTTCATCAATGATTATACCTAAGAATTTGGCTTGACTCTCTTGAGAAAGGGTCACATTTTTTAGAAAGATTTTGGCGCTTCTATTGTAGGTTTTATTTCTATTACAGAAAATAAGGTAGTATGTCTTCTTAACATTGACTGATAATTTATTTGCCTCAAACCACGATATAACCTTTTTCAATTCTTCGTTAGCCAGGTTTACTAGCGTATCAAAATTCGAGTTTGAAAGAAAAAGATTTGAATCATCTGCAAATAGGATAAAGAATATAATTGAGGATGCTTTTTCGAGGTCATTTAAATAAATCAAAAAAGTAGGGGTCCTAGTATCGAACCCTGTGGGACACCACATTCTATCATTTTAAGTTGTGATTTATAATCATTAAGGGTTACGTATTGCTGTCTATTGGATAGATAAGAAGAGAACCATTTTATTGCGGTGTCACATATACCATATCGTTTTAGTTTATTGAGTAGAATGGAATGATTAACTGTATCAAAAGCCTTTGATAGATCGAGAAAGATTCCTATAGTGTATTCTTTGTTATCTATAGCGGTAGAGATTTTTTCCATTAAGTGTATGAGTGCTAGAGACGTAGAATAGCCCTTTCTGAAGCCATATTGGTGTTTATATAGGATGTTATTTTGATTTAAATGTTTCAGAAGACGATTATATACTAGTTTTTCCAAGACCTTAGATACGCAGGGGAAGGACCAGATATGGTCGATAGTATTAACGCTAAGTGGATCACTGCTTTTAAAGATAGGCGTCACTTTTGCGACTTTTAGTGGGTGAGGAACAACTCCATTTTGCAAGGATAGAGACAAAATATGCGTTAGAGGGGCAATAACATAGGGCAGTGATAACTTTAGTACTTTAGGGCTTATTTCGTCATGACCAGCAGCTGAGTCTTTTAAGTTTTTGATAATACCTGTAATTTCAGCACAGGTTGGTGGTATAAAAGTTGTTAGGTTAGAATTTACTTGTAAGGTGATGTAGCTAAGAGGGTCTTGTATTCCTTTTGGGATTTTACTCTCAAGCGTAGGTCCAATATTAATGAAAAAATCATTGAATTCGTTACATATTTCTTCTTTATTTTCGGTAGTTTTGGTACCAATTTGTATTTTATTTGGACCAGCTGATTTACTTTTATTACGATTCAAAACGTCATTTATCAGGTTCCATGTTTGTTTTATATTACTGGTGGCTTCATTGAACTTTCTGTGGTAGTATTCCTTCTTTGCATTTTTTAGGAGATGATTTAACTTATTCCGGTATTTTTTATAGATACTGTGGTTTAAGGGTGTCGGGTTCTTGACATATTTAGTAAAGAGCTTGTTTTTTCTGCGTATTGACTTTAACAATCCACTGCTTAGCCAGGGTTTTCTGCGAGAATGTTGGGAGATTTTTGTAATTTTCTTTGGGAAACATTTTTCGTATAACGATCCGTATGTTTCAAAAAATTGATTATATGCTTTTTCTGTGTCTGTTTCGTTTAATACGTCGCTCCATACTATTTCTGATAGGGATTGTGTAAATTTCTGAATATTAGTTGTGTTAACTCGACGATAAGATATTTTGTCTGTCTGCCTGACTGGCTCGTTTAAATCGGATGTAAGGAATATTGGGAAGTGATCTGATATGTCAGTGATGAGGATGCCAACTTTGATATTGTTGCTAACAGAGTTTGTATAAATGTTATCTATCAAGGTAGCAGAGTAGGGTGTAATTCTGGTAGGTTTGCATATAAGTGGGTAAAAACCAGATGAGAACATTTCATTTACATGATCAGTAGTGGGTTTGTTAGTGTTGTTTAACAGATTAATATTGAAATCACCAATAATGTAACAAGTTGTTCTTTCCCTATTAATATTGTTCATAGATTCCTTTATGCGCTCATTGAATTCTGCAATGTCGGTATTTGGTGGGCGATACACACAGCTCAATATTGTTTTTTTCTCCTTCGGGTTACTTGGAATTATTTCAATGGATATACTCTTTGTGCCTGTGTCGTCGATGATAAATTCTAGGTCGGGTCGTTCTTGATAGTATACGTCGTTTCTTATGTATAGTGAAACCCCCCCTCCAGATCTATTCTTTCTGCAGTGATGTATGCTATTATAACCAGGTATACTATAATTTTCTGTGATATTATCTGTTAGCCATGTTTCTGTTATTGCAAGAACTGTAAAATTTTGGTGTAAGGAGGAGAGATATTCATTGAGTTCATTAAAATGGCAAGGAAGGCTTCGTACATTTAAGTGGAACAGAGATAGAGTGAAGGACAAGGACAAGTTACAAGATTTATTAAAGGATTCAGCAGTATAATATTGGGAAGATGTATTTATAGAAGTATAAAAGTCATTAAGAAAGTTTGTAAAGTGGTTTGTGTCAGGATCTAAATCAGAAATTGGAGTGATCTTACAATCATCATTTACATCAAATGGGTTAAAAATTAGCGGACTTATGTTAGGAGGATCAAGTGCCCTATCTGAGGGTTGATCAGAAGTAGTGGTCATGATTACTCTAGTCCTCAGTAGGCCGACCCAGTGAGGCTTGTCACGTGGCTTCTTTGAAGTGTGACGTCAACACTGGGTCAAAGGTATCTGGTAGACGATGTCGGCCCCCGTCGCGGTTCAGTGATGGGTGATGGGCACTTGTAAGGATTTTGACACTGAACCGCGACGGGGGTCGACATCGTCTACTGAGAAAGACCAGAGTGACTGGTCCAAGCTCTAGGTGAGAGAATTTGTTGTGTTGAATCGGAAGTTTTAACTCTAAACATGTAACTACCAACACAGATGAACTTTCATGATAGTAAAAGTGCTGCTGTGTTGACCAGGCCCTACACGGAACTAGCAGCCTGCGCGCACCACGCCGGCAAGCTAACCGCCAACCTAGAAACTCTTCAGTACGACGACTTCATGAAAGAGATCCATCAGAAGTTCTACCGTCACTGTCACGACTGGAGGAACCGAGGCGAGTTCGATCCTCCCAGCGACGTCCTGGCCGCGTGCGTGGCGGCACCGACTGTGGCAGCCCTGGTGGCCGCCATCTTGTTAGCGACCTGGGATCTACTGCTCGGCCGGAAACAAAAGATGCCAGTAAACACAGACACAGATGACGAGGACGCAGGGTATGAACAATAGCAGGATTTATGATGACAAACAAACAACAAACAAACAAACAAACAAACGGAAATATGCACATACAAACGATAGAACGCAACATAACACTACCTGTTATATACTTTCAGGTGATTACTTTGATATAGCTAAATAGAACGTTATTTGTGACAACTTATTTATGACAACGAAGTAGCTAGCTGGAAATAATCAAAGTTAAAAAAAGGTTCACCTCGACATTAGTAAGTAATCTGTAAGACATCACACCTTTGAAGGTATGCAGTAATATCATTTGAAAAAGCAAATATCTCATTTGATAAATATACCAATTTGATTTGATCTTAAGTATGAGTATATATCTATGGTTTTATAGAATATATTAGATACTATATTTATCAAATTGAATCATGACGTGAAATTAGGTAATTACTTTGATCATGTTACTACATTATAAATGTTTACTACATATAATACTTATTTACTCGCCAGCTTGACTTAAACATGTTTTTTATGCCACTGCGCTGCATACAACAGTTATAACACGTTAAGAAGCCTAATGAATTTGCTAGTTTTGTTTTTACAATAATCTTCAGGTGTTAGTCGTCCAGCGGTACAAAAGCGTGTCGAGGACGGCTGATTTTGAACTGTAAAAAATGCCACGAGTTAGTCAAAATCTAAAATATACATGCACTAAGAAACTTTGATTTCAAATTGTAACTCTTGTTAGTAGCAATATGTTCGTAACCGATTCCATGATTTTAGAAATATAAAATTAGGCATTACGCTATCTATTGTCGAGATTTATCAATACGAGTGAATAGAAAGTTTTTTATTACAAGTAGTTTATGTCCGAAGGCTAATTGCAAACTGACAAGGAGAATGAGTACAGAATGTATTGAAGAGTGCGATTGCAAAGAATCATGTACTAACAACATAAAGTTCTACTTCTACTTAAAACTAATAACGTATGTACAAGTATGTGTGTCAGGGAGAGGATATTCAATACATAGACGTAGAAAGACGTAGCAACTACGGGACGTAGCGTGATTGACTGATTGATTGAGTGATTGAGTAGGTGAGTGAGCGGGTGAGTGAGTGAGCGGGTGAGTGAGTGAGTGAGTGAGTGAGTGAGTGAGTGAGTGAGTGAGTGAGATATTGAGAGTGATTGAGTAGGAGAGTGAGTGAGAGTGAGAGTGAGTGAGTGTAGGTGAGTGAGTGAGTTATTGAGAGTGATTGAGTAGGTGAGTGAGAGTGAGTGAATGAGTAAGTGAGTGAGTGAGTGAGTGAGAGAGTAGGTGAGTGAGTGAGTTGAGTGAGTGAGTGGGTGATTGAGTGAGTGAGTGGGTGAGTGGGTGAGTGAGTGAGTGGGTGAGTGGGTGAGTGGGTGAGTGAGTGAGTGAGTGAGTGAGTGAGTGAGTGAGTGAGTGAGTGAGATACTTACTGCATCGTCCTTGCCGAATATCTCCTGGTACAGTTTCTCATCGTGCTCAGGAGTCTTTTCCTCTGGAACATCCCGGAGAAGGTTGGCCCTGATAACATATAGTACACAACTGTAACTTACGTGTTTTTTAAATCTTTATTCAACAGAACAAAAGAGCGTACAAAAAGACAAACGATATAGCATAAGAGTACACACACACTGAATTACATAAAAACATTCTACCCAGTCGATATATTTGCTAAATCCCCCCATTTTTTGGAATGACTGATCATATTGTTTTGTTTTCGTGCGATGCTTTCTTCTGTGGCTTTAAAATTATTTACAAAGGATTCAAAACTATACAATGAAATAGTTTCGGAATGACGATTCTTGAAAATATACACCTTTCCCAGTAATATTATAAGATACTGCTTCATGATGATCACCCAATAGAATGTTCAACGGATTTTCTATATTAAGATAAAGTCCAGTTTTTTGTTAAAGCATTTCTGAACACTCAGCCAAAATTTAAACACCTTTCTGTAATCACAAAAAAGGTGTTTTGTTGTTTCTGTGTTTGCTTATTGGAAACACTCATGGACTATAGAAGCTATAGCTGCATGTACATTGAAGAGTAAAAGAAAAGATCGTAGTATAAAGATCCTGATAATGAAACATGGAGCACTTGTGGTGATTGGGTCCCCAATGAGCCCAGCCGGTATATGTGAGTGAGGAAAAAGACTCTTTTTACACAATCAAGTGTTTTATTTACAGTCGACGTTTCGGTGACCGTCTGTCACCTTCCTCAGGTCAATTGTGACTTGTTCACATTGCACTGCAGTACAGGTGTCACTGCTATAGATGCATTACCTGAGGAAGGTGACAGACGGTCACTGAAACGTCGGTTGTGAATAAAACACTTGGTTGTGTAAAAGAGTCTTTTTACTCTGTGACATGATGAAACTAGTCACTGATATATGTGAGGCTATGTGTTTTTGACAAAATCTTAAACTTTGTGCAGTGATATAGCTTCAAATAGTCAGATCTGGCGTAAAATCTTTTACGTTCCCTACCTTCCGGGGAAGTACCGCGTCACGACCAGCTGCCCTACGGGCGGCCTTCCATCGGAGCCCGAGCTGGAACTGGTGTCGTCTCGGACGTCTGTGTACCTGTTCAGGACGAACACAGCAAAATGATTTTCATATGGTCTGCTCTGTTAATTCTTACTCAAACACATTCATATACTAGTATATGATCAGACAGGAGTCTAAATCCTTTCTGCTATAAAATTGCAACATGATGTAACCCAACACTGGTTACCATGGTGACAGACGTCTGGTTCAGGCCATTGACCTTATTTGTTTAGATGACGAGGAAGAAGAAATAGAGCAAAAACAATATGTTTTCTTACGGTAAACATAAATATATTCACAGCTATATATTGCAAACTATCGACAATGGAATATAACTGAAATCTAATGAACTATTTTTTTTATTATTCTATCTGGAACTGAGTCAGCCTACTTAACAATGGCGTAGTTGTCTTCAACTTACTTTTTGCCACGGGCTCTCAGCCACAAGTACCGGCAGAGTAGCAGCAGCAGCAAAATCAGCAAGAACGCTGCAAGTGCGGACAGCACTATACCAGCAATACTAAATCCTGTAGGCTCTGAGAAAATAAAAAAGATAAAAAAAAAGTATACACAACAATATGGAGAAAGGTGAATATGTAGCACGAATCCGTAATTATCAGAAAAAATGGCAAACTGTTATTGAAATTGATCGTTTTACTATTAACACTAGACACGGTGGGTACTTATTTACTCAGTCACTGGTAACATCAATACAAACCTGCATTTTCGCAAGTTGATCCAGTAAAGCCCGAAGGACAACTAAAAAAAACAATATATTACGTTATGTTCCTACATTCAGAAACACAGGCATCAATCAAATGTTTATAGAAATATAAAGTAACAGTACATTAGGAAGTATGATATCTTTCCCAATCTAATAGAACGTAACGAGGAGCTCTGAGAAAAAGCGCAAGATTTTATTTTTAATAATTACAATTATAGAAGCTTGTCATACATTGAAAGATATCAATTAACTAACAACAGAAAGGTTTACATCTATTTGCTATGCTTTATACTTTATTAGTACAATGGTTTGGTGAGTTTTACCGACGTCAAGATTATAAAAATATGTAACTTTACAGTTAGTAGTCTGTGATCAGGAACGAATCCAGTTCTTTTATCAGAAAATTAAACATAACGATACTTACTCGCAAACTCGGTCATAGCCTACTTCCCTGCACTTTCCGTCATTCTCACAGAACCCGACATGACACAGCTCTGCAAGCAGAGAGCATAACAATTTTCAATAAACAAATAATGTGTGTGTGTGTGTGTGTGTGTGTGTGTAGGAAAGGGTCATTCTACAGTTTTTGTAAGATTGGTACAAGAAATAAAGCACTTATTGCATAGAGATAGATACAATCACATCTTCAGGATGTACCACACAGGGCATACATACAACAACTGAAAATCCGGTAGTAAGGCCAGGGGACGTCCCGTGAAGACGTGGGTAGAGAGTGTGAAGCACCCTGCCTCGAGGCTAGCCGTTGGCCGCCAACTGTCCCTCCTCACGACACCCCAGACGGTAGAAGTGGAAGGATAAAGTAAAGTAAAGTAAAGTAAAGTAAAGTAAAGTAAAGTAAAGTATGTAAAGTAAAGTAAAGTAATGTAAAGTAAAGTAAAGTAAAGTAAAGTAAAGTATGTAAATTAAAGTAAAGTAATGTAAAGTAAAGTAAAGTAAAGTAAAGTAAAGTATGTAAATTAAAGTAATGTAAAGTAAAGTAAAGTAAAGTAAAGTAAAGTAAAGTAAAGTATGTAAATTAAAGTAATGTAAAGTAATGTAATGTAATGTAATGCAAAGTAAAGTAAAGTAATGTAAAGTAATGTAATGTAATGTAATGTAATGCAAAGTAAAGTAAAGTAAAGTAAAGTAATGTAAAGTAATGTAAAGTAAAGTAAAGTAAAGTAAAGTAAAGTAAAGTAAAGTAAAGTAAAGTAAAGTAAAGTAAAGTAAAGTAAAGTAAAGTAAAGTAAGGATATCATCTTACCAATCACACTATGGCCGTCAAAGTGAAGACCAGAGGCGTTGTCAAAGTCATCGAACATTTCTATCAGGTGGTGGTGCTCCGTGTGGTTGTTGAAAGTCGCTGTGTGCACCACGTGAACGCTCCCGTCGTAGAAACGATTGATCGCCAGGCTGAGTATGCCAACGTTGTGAGTCGTGTAGAAGTCCCATATCTGGAATTTTTTTTTTTTAAATGTGAGTGACATGCATGATGACACACACTAGTTGTGGCTGCTCATTTCATTTCATTGATTGGGGATGCAACAGTGCATGACAAGTGGTAGTCAGGCAGCAGCAAGGCTGGTAGCGGCTACATACAGCATAATACAAATCATTACAATATCCAAGACCTACGACATATATATACAATATGAATACAATCAATCTGACGATCAATGGCAGTACATTATACAATAACAAAATTAATACATAATAATATTAATAAATAATATAATAAAAGACATCATCATCAATATAAATGTCAATAAGCAAGAGAAAAGATGGAACGGTTGGAAGGTCTGTTGTGCGTAGTTTTATGTTGAAACATGGAAAAAGACGACTCACTATTTTGTAGAATTTATTTGCTAATGTCTGGAAATCCACAGATCCACAGTCGGCCAGTGCTGGGCGCCATTTCTCCCCTACAACCACCAGCTCGATCTGCAAGGTGTCTTTGACTGCAAACAAAACCAAAGCAATTCAACTCTGAGGCAATCGTCATTCAGTCATAGAAGTAACTTTAGTTCAATAACTATTTTATAACCAGGTTAGCATTGATACTATTTAATACCTTGGGATGGTGGGGCTTAGGTGCACTGTTACATCAACTCCGCGTATTTATATGATATAAATTGTTAATTGTGTGGCGCTGTTATTATCAAAATAGGTTATAAACTTGAGTGCCACACTGTACTTGTTACTGTTTTGTTGTGTTGTGTAACTGTTTTGTTGTGTTGTGTATTGGTAAATAGATTTAAAAAACTGAGACAACGTGATTCAAAATGTCGACTACGCGCTGCATGTGACGAATCACAGGGAACTGAAGCAAGGTTCTCACCGTATTGTATATTCGTTACCGTTTCAATTCTTTTTCAATAATGTCTAATAGTGTTGCTCCCGAATTGTTATACAACATACCAATCCCCTACAAGACAAGTGTCAGGATAAAATATTGGCCTCCAATACATTTCAAATGATGCCAGGTATACTCGCGATCGTCATGCTCTAATACATGTTCAAGTTATGTACAATGAACAGTAGCCTAGACTATAACCAAATTGGGCCAAAAGCAGTTACTCAAGCAACTGGATATAATAGTGGTTTCCAAAGTCATATCCAGTTGCTTGAGCAACTGTTTTGGCGTATCGTATTACCTGGCTGTCTAACCTTCACCGACGTATAACCAAATTGTATAGCACATATGATGATCATATGTACATGTAAATAGATGATAGTAAACGGGTGACCTGAACAGAAACCATATCTGGTATCTTGGTCAAAACTTCAGCCCAGCCATAATTTACAAACTGCTAGCGTTTAAGCTTAGAAAACTATAATTGACTGACTTGGTTCGCAGAATGTCCCATTCCCTCTCCAGCCCCTCCTGCATATGCACTGTCCTCTGATGAAGTCTGCTTGACGACTACAGCTACAAGTCACAGCTAGGAATGGGGTAAACGGTTACATCGGTCAGTAAACTTTAAAGTTGTCTGCAATGGCATGTATTAGTCTTTATATCAACTTCTCTATCATTAATGACTTTATAGTACCATGTTTATCAATACTCATCGATTGATTCATAAATGTAACATCAATTGAAGCTATTTTGCTGCGTACACTGTGTACCAAGGGACAACGTCTAAACATATGGACACAACCAATTCACATTACCAGGGGATGATGGACTCGGCGTTGGACCTGTGGCCTCGGTCGTTGTTGGGGTTGTGGCCTCAGTCGTTGGTGTACTTGCGGCCTCACTTGGTGTTGGAGTTGCGGCCTCACTTGGGGATGGACTTGCGGTCTTACTTGGTGTTGGAGTTGCGGCCTCACTTGGGGATGGACTTGCGGTCACACTTGGTGATGGACTTGCGGCCTCACTTGGTGATGGACTTGCGGCCTCACTTGGTGATGGACTTGCGGTCTCACTTGGTGTTGGAGTTGCGGCCTCACTTGGTGTTGGAGTTGCGGCTCACTTGGTGATGGACTTGCGGCATCACTAGGTGTTGGGACTTGGGGCCACACTCGCTGTTGGACTTGGGGCCACACTCGCTGTTGGACTTGGGGCAATGGTTGTCTCTGTTTCACCTGGGGTAACGGGACTCAGTGAAGGAGTTGGGACGCTGATACTGAGTGTCGGGCTTGGGGCTACGGCACTCAGTGATGGGCTTGGTGCAATGGTATCTGATGGGCTTGCAGTGATGGAAACAAGCGTTGGGGCGACACTGAGAGTGCTGGGTGTTGGAGTAGGTACGATGGTATCTGGTGTTGGACTAGGTACGATAGTATCTGGTGTTGGACTAGGTACGATGGTATCTGGTGTTGGACTAGGTACGATGGTATCTGGTGTTGGACTTGGCACGATGGTATCTGGTGTTGGACTAGGGACGATGGTATCTGGTGTTGGACTTGGTGCGATGGTATCTGGTGTTGGACTTGGCACGATGGTATCTGGTGTTGGACTAGGTACGATGGTATCTGGTGTTGGACTTGGTGCGATGGTATCTGGTGTTGGACTAGGTACGATTGTATCTGGTGTTGGGCTGGGAGCGATAGAGGTTGGTGTTGGGCTTGGGGCGACAGAAATCACTGTTGGGCTTATTGCCGTGGTCGGGACAATGCTGATCTGTGTTGGTGTAACGGTATCTGCCGTTTCGCTAGGCGCGACGGTAGTTTGAGTTGGGCTTGGTGCGACGGTAGATGATGTTAAGCTTGGTACCATGGTAGATGCTGTTAGGGTTGGTACCACAATAGATGGTGTTAGGGTTGGTGCAACGGCAGATGGTGTTAGGGATGATGCCACAATAGATGGTGTTAGGCTTGGTGCCGCGGCAGATGGTGTTAGGGTTGGTACCACGGTAGATGGCGTTAGGCTTGGTACCACGGTAGATAGTGTTGGGCTTGGTACCAGGGTAGATGGTGCTAGGCTTGGTGCCACAGTAGATGGTGCTGGGCTTGGTGCCACAGTAGATGGCGTTGGGCTTAGAGCGACAGAAGATGGTGTTGGGGTAGGTGTGAGGATGGATTCTGTTGGACTCGGTGCGACAGTAGTTTGTGTTGGGCTTGGAGTGATGACAGTCGGTGTCAAGATAACAACTGCAAATTGAACACAATTAGTTCCAATTTCGTAAGAAAACCACAGACATACAAAGTAGACAATTAATTTCCCATTCATGGGAAGAAAAATATTTTCTGGGTATATATATGAGATTCAACTTTGCGATAATTGACCAAACATACTAGCTGATATACCTGTGCAGTCAAAACCCGTCTCCTGTATATCCATCTGAGCACGCACAACTGAAAGACCCGTCTGTGTTGGTGCAAGTTGCGTTGTCGTGACAAGGACTGTTACAAACATTCATCAACATCTGTAAAATT